ATTTTTTCAGTTAGTGGTTGTAAGGATAATTTTATAAATAAAATTAAAAAAAAAAAATACAAAATAAGCTCTGTAAGGATAGATGGATCTAATAACTTTCAATAAAAGACTTGTAATTGTAATCAATATATTATCAATATCTATCTTCTAGTAAAGCTCGAATAGCGTTATCCATTAAAAAACCTACTTTTTTTTCAATCATTTGTGAGTTTAAGGCAAGGCTAAATCAGAAATCTCTTTCAAATTTCTCGATTGTAAACTAGAGTGAAAAGATGAAAGACAATGCTATATATAATCATTTAATAATACATGAAGTTAAAAGTGCTTTAATAAATTGAAAAGCCATTAAAGACTTTTCGAAATGATGGCTGAAAATTGAAGAAATTTTAGGTCTAGATTAGTTTGTTGATCGTCCATATCAATTTTTTTCTCTTGAATAAGAACACATTTTAGCTATGAGTAATTTATAAATTACTCCGTTTCGTTTAAAAAAAAAAAATTTAATTAGTTATTTTGATTTTAAAAATTAATCGTTTAGCTTTGTAATTAATTTTGATCACGATTAATTTAATAATTTTTTTCTTAATAATTTTTTTATATTTTTATTTATTCATTTTTTATTCATTTAGCTATCTTACCAAACAAACTCTCTTTAATTGGAGCAATCCGTGATCCAAATTGATCTTAGAACACGACCTATACATAAATTCAGAAGAGCAAACCTTCTGAATTTCAAATGATAAATTCCTTGGTGCATCTTTAATGTAATCATGGCTGAATTAAAATCCACGAGTGTAAATTTCTTTTTCAGTTCTAAATTTCTTTTTTAGAAAGATGCAATTAATAAGAAAATTAGTAAAAAAAATACGATCAGAACAAACCAAACAATAGAGAAAGATCCTGTACTATTAACCCTTTTATTCCTCAACATGTACTGATTAAAGTTTCAAACTTGAGTCGGAGATCATGATAATTAAACAAGTTGGGAAGATGATACATTATACAAGGACTTATTGGAAACAGTAATGAAAAAAAGATAAACAAAGGTTTGAATTTTGAAAAGGAACAGGGAAAAAAAAAAAAAAACGACAAGAGTGAAAGGAGGTAAGATCCAGGTTGGATTTCCAAAGATTCAACAGTATCATATTGCATTTATTATCACCCTACTCACCAGTCCTTTCCTAGAAAATTACCCTTTTTGTCATCTTGCTTCTTAATTTTTATTTCCTTCTTAAAAACCCCACTTATTGTTATCAGCTTTAATTCAAACTTCAAAACTCTCTCTCTCTCTCTCTCTCTCTCTCGCCCCCCTCTATATAACTTGATATCTCTGTGTTGACTGCCTTAGTATTTACTCTTTAGTGTTTGTGGTTGAAAAAAGAAGTGTCATCTTTTACCTCGAGCACCCTCTACACTTGTTAGCAAAAGGGTATTTTTATTGATTCATTGATTACATAGAATATTTTGTCTATCTTTCAGCTCGCAAGAGGAGCTAACGTTGTTTAGGAACGTATCTAGTCCTGCATTCAGATAGATACAGAGGTGAGTCTCTGACCATTTTCTGTTTTGTTTATTGTTTTTTTTTTCAGTCAAAAGGAAATCATTTTGTTTGTATGTCTGTAATAATGCATTTAGGTGTAGTTAATTAACGTACAAAACAAATGGAGTTTCTTGTTTTCTTCTTCTTTCTGTTTTTTTTTTTTTTGTTTTTTTGTTTTTTTTTTGTTTTAAATCATGTGTGCTAGTTTGTTGAGTTCTTTAAATGATGATCCGTTTGGTTGTCGAGAGAGAATGGAAGAAGAGAAAACCTTTGAAATCTCATCATTGCCCCACCATTGAAGCTCTACTAAAATTCAAGTATTAGTCCATCTGGATTTTGATTCATTTTCTGGGCAACCAAACACATGTTACACATACCCGTGTTTTGGTTATCTTTAATTTTAATTTTTATTTTTTCCATTTGGTCGTATTTTGTTGAAAATGATTAGAGATATTAAATTGGTCGAACATGCAAATCCATGAATGCTCTGTCAGATCTATCTGGGTACATTGATCTGTTTGAATTTATTTCTTTGGTTCTATTTAAGCAGAGAGAAAAAAATTGAGTGTCTTTATTGTTCTTATTCTGAATTATTTAGTCAACACTGTCAGTATTTATTACTATTTTTTCACTTTCAAAAAATGGTTAATTTTGAAGTAAACACACCAACACGTGCGCGGTGGCGCGTGAGGTGGCATGTTCCTTTCCTCTTTCGAAATGTTTTTGGGCAGAGGATGTCCCTCCTCTTCTGAGACATTCCTGTCGCTTATCTCACTCTTCTTTGTTGTCATCCTCTACCTTTTTTCCTGTAAAAAGTAGAAGGAACTATGAGGTTGAAAGGACACTAATGCCCCTGACAAAGTTGAGATTTGAGGAACTTTTTTATTTTTTTTTGGTTTTGTGAAAAATTGTAAGGTGAAAGAGAAAGCACATATTTTGATTGATGAAGATGGACAGTGAAAAGGAGTGTTTTAAAGATTGCTTTTTGCACTGTCCAAGAAAACAAGCCCACTAGCAGGACACAGGGACCTAGGAGCTTGTAAAAGTTAAAATGGATGGTGCTTTTTTCGATTGTATAGTCTAGTATTAATGGATTACTATTTGTTCTGGGATCGATTTAGAATAATAAGGAATGGAAAAATTCAAAAAACGAAAGGAAATCATGTAACTGTGGACATCAATATTATGAATGTGCATTGCTTAGTAGATTGGTATCATGTGGTCAATGGTTCCAGTAAAAATTCTGTCGTCCTTGGCTTGGCATTTGAACTATGTGTTAGGGCCTGAAAATGGTAGGTCTCAAATCTTTATCTTAACATCTGATCTTGCATCATTTCCTGAAATTCAAAATTTTGTTTATGAAGTGTTATGATCTAAATGAAACGTCTTGTTGTTTGTTTTGTTGTTGATATTAGGCCATGGTATGAAAGAAGACACAAAGAGTCGTGTAATTAGACCATTACCAACTGATAAACCAGTAATTGAGAGATTTAACTAAAGTTGATATCTTAACTGCTCCCATAGAAGGGTCCCAATGATAATGAGTAACAGGCCCCTGAAATGAGCATATTGTGGACCTGGTGAGCAAATGTGGAAAGTAAAACTCTCACTTCTCTATCGGCTATGCACAATAAAAAGATGGGGGTGGTTGGATTGTCTTTCTTCTTCATTGCTTGTGTCTAGTGGATATAATGTATGATTTTATGCCATGAGATATTAGTAATGTAACACATTACACCAATTATTGTTTCTATTTTCTAGCTTTTGGTGATCCAGATTTCAAATTGCAGTGTTTTTTCCCCAAGGAAATCTAGTAGTGAATTTGGGATGATATGTCAAGTTAGGCCAGCTCATTGTTGTGGCGTATACATACCTGTTTTCTTTACCACGTTGTCTTACATTAAAGTTGGCGTAGCAAGTTTATGTATGCACTATTTAGTAATGCTCATTTTGCTGGCTTTCATGTGTCCTCAAGCTCACGTAAGCTCAAGGAATGTTTACTATCACAAGAAGTTGGCTTTTGTAGTTTCAACTTGAAATTATTTGATTATATTTGTGACGCTACACATGTCCTTCTTCAGTGCGCTCGCTAGAATATAGCTCCCAGTATAACTTGTTATGCCTTCGTATTAAATTAAGATGTGAAGCCATTGATTATTTCATTTCATTAAATGCTTTAAAAGCCCATTTTTTGAACTTTTACAGTTAACTAGGAAGAGTTGAGTTAACATTCTGTAAAATGAGCTTGGAATATAATTTGCAGGAGCTTGGCTCAGAGGTCACTGATTTTTTATTTATTTATTATAAATTGCAATTTAATGTTTACACCCATATATTTGGACTCATATTTTGAATGGTTTTCATTATAACCTCCTTTTTTTGGGTTTAAGTTTCCCTTTTGTTTACATACTAGGCTCTGAGAATACAAAGTTCCAACCACTGTTGCTCGCTGCTCTTGAACAAACATTGCTTGAGGTGACCCGATGCCGAGATCAAGGTCAGAGAACACTAACCTGTCACCATTTATCAATATACTGTTTTTATATCACATGCATACAGCCTGAAATGTTGATTCAAGTTATTTGGATTAAAAGATTTTACATGCTTCATACTTATGACAAGCCTTTTTTAGCTTTTTTTTTTTCCCAGAAAATAAGAAGCAAATGCCTAAGCTAAAGGCATGGTTTTTTCTGTCGGAGTGTATTGATGTCTTTCTATGTATTGAAGTGCATATACTACTAGGACAAGAGATAAACAATGCCTTGGTTTGGATGCAATTGTAGTTTGATATAATTCTATTCTTCTATATCATCCTCTGGAAATCCAAATCTACCATCATTTCACTCAGCAAGGTTGAATGATTATAGTACTCTTGATTTATGCCAGAATCATAGCATGAAGCATCAGTTGTTAAACTAGTAGGTTTGTTTTAAACCATGGCAATACATTTTGTCATACCTCAGAAACTAGGGGTCATCAAAGAAGCCTAATTTCTTTCATTTTTGTGGCCTGAAATGCCCCAACTAGTTTTGGGTTGAGGCTTCTTGTTGTATGGTATGAAATGATGAAATCAGCCATGTATGAAGTAGAACAAATATATGTTATTTAACAACTGTTTGATTCGGCTTCCTGATTGTGTGCGGCTGTAAATAATATCCATGCTTTAGATGTTCTGTCATCATTCACTTTGGATTTGTTCTATCATTTCCTTTTCATTTATTTTTGGTCTCAATGTAGTCTTGAATCAATTCAATTTACAGAGACCATAGGTTCTGTCAGTGTCACATTACATTATAAGTGAATTCCATTAATGATCTAATGTTTTTTAGGAAACGAAGTTGCTATTCAATTTGATTTTGGCTATAATATTACCAGTAACTTACAAATTTGTTGTGCAAAAAATGTCTGATGACAATTTTGGATTCCATTTTCTGTTTCAATAATAATCAGAGGATCAGAGATGCCTCAGAGGCAGTCTCCTCGAGGCCCACATCCACTTAGGACATCAAGCTCTGATTCAGACCCACCACATCATCGGCATGTTACCGATCGAAGTCCAAAGCTAGGAGACCGTCGCTCCCCAAGAGGTCCCCAGCCTGACTCATTAAACCAAAAGAAGCTTGGAACCCGCATTGCGGATTTAGAATCTCAACTTGGCCAAGCACAAGTAGAGCTGAAGACACTAAAAGAGCAGTTGGCTTCAGCTGAAGCTGCAAAGAAAAAGCTCAGCAAGAATTGGAGAACAAAGCCAAGAAAGCTGCTGTTCCGGAGCCAGAGGAGGATTCCAAAATAATGGATAGCAACTCAGCAGATGAAGTTTTTGAAGAAAACCAGCTGGAAACTGATGTTTTTGAAGTTCCTGTGGAGAAAAAGACTGTTGAGCCCAAGGTTGATCCTGGCAACCTGTTTGATCAGATAGAAAAAGAAAGTGACGCAATTGATACATTGGCTGAACCGCTGGTGATTTCAGAGCCAGAAAAGCCTTCTTTCCATGACTTGGCATTGAAGGATAATGAGATAAATATCCTAAAAACCAAGCTAGAAGAGAGAGAAAAGGAGCTAGAGGTGTTTGGTGTGGAGAATGAGAACTTGAAGAATCAACTGAATGAGGCAAATTCAAACATCTCATCCACCAAATCCAAGGAAGAAGAAATGTCCTTGAAGTTGAGCCAATTGGGTGAAGAGCTGGAAGCAAGTAAAGCAAATGCTGCCCAGCTAAAGGAGAAACTGGAAGCTGCTGAAGGAGCCAACGAAGCACTGGAAGCAGAAGTGAAGAAAATGAGAGTGCAGACAGAGCAGTGGAGAAAAGCAGCAGATGCTGCGGCAGCAGTGCTTGCTGGGGGAGTGGAGATGAATGGTAGGATTCCAGAGAGGTGTGGCTCCATGGATAAGCACTTTGGTGGCGTATTTGAGCCACCAGTAGGTGGATATACTGGTTTTGTGGGATCACCTGGACTGGCTGATGATTTGGTTGATGGTTTTGGTAGTGGAAAGCGAAAGGGCTCTGGGATTAAGAAGTTTGGAGACCTGTGGAAAAAGAAGGGCCAGAAATAAGATGTCAGTGTTGTTGAAATCCTCGTCCACTTTTATTTATTTTGTTGGTAGGGAAATGGTTGCTCACCATTTCACATTTTGTTGTCATGTTTATATATGTTGAAGTTACGTTATCTAAACCTTTCCAGGGATGATCTTTATATGTTTGTACTTCGGTGAAATTGGGAATCCTTGTATGAGTGGAGCGCTTCTAAATTTCACAATAAAAAATATCCTCTTCGCCATTCTTTGGAGTCCCTTGGGCTTTTGATGGTTTATACGGTACAATAACAAGGATTTGGGTTTTGGTACAACATATTACTAAGATTTTACCTATAAGCTACTAGCCAGCCAACAAGCCAGCAACAATCATTTACGCAACCTTGATATAAATTATCGTTCCTCTTTCCCACTTTTTAGGTCTCTAAAATCTTGACAAGGACTGAACGTTTACAAATCTAGTGGAAAATGAAACATAATACATCGTACTAATTTTTCACCTAAGATATATCATTTAGCTTAGGTACTGCATCAGTAGATCGAATGGAGGTGAGGGATGGCGAAATTCTCATCTGGCCTACTGGAAAGAAATGTGTAACAGCAGCTTTCTTTTATACGGGCAATACTTTCTATAGCAATTTTTTGCTATTTCCACTACTATAATTGCCTATACACCAGAACTCATCGCCAGGCAAATCGAACCCATTAAATCAAACAGAATCTGGAATTATAAATGTAACAAACGACAACTCAAACACGAGTTTGTCCCCTCCAAATTGCATAGCAGAATCCAAAGAGTTAAAGCATAACATTTCGAATCCAGAGCCATAGGAAATCTTTGCTTTGGAAGGGCTGGGCATATGCTTTCGAGTGATGCATTTTCTTGCGTTTGATGAAATATACCATAAAATCATGTACTATTCATCCTCATCGTCGCTGTCATAGTTCTGGCATAGGGATAGTAGCCCAGTGCTTGTATCATTAGTTTTACTCTCCTCCACTATTTCATTCTCCACTAGCTTATTACTGTCAGAAGCTGCAACTGGTTTCTTTACCACAGATATTCTGATCAACGGGGATGTGAAACTGGATTTACCATCATTCTGAGTCCCTGAACCACTTGAATTTTCTGTTGACAACCAAAGAACATGAATGTCAGTCTCACCTAGAATTTCATAATAACGGATGAATGTAACAAGTTAAACAAATAAAAGTATTAATCCTAAGCTGAACACTAATTGATCTTAGTGATGTGCGGGAAACCAACTTTTCTAACAAACTAGCTTCTAAATACTTTAGCATTTGAAGAATATTCTTTTACATATAGCATTAATAACTTCTACTTGGGACACTAAGATACATGCTTCTGAATACATTAGACCTGTCATGCAGACCACTAGAAAGGCAGTGAAACATTTTGAATTAAAATATACTTTTTGTGCAGGATATGTTTGATATTTAGCAGAAATTCACTGAATATTTAGCCACAGAAGTGCATTTGAGAATGGTGTGGCTATCTGTCATGTTCTTGCCTCGTTAATAAAACATCATAATCAATCTATCAATATTAACAAATGAATAGCTCTATTGAATGTCAACAAGGAATTTATACATAACTCATCCTTTCATTCCTTGCTTCCAACTATGAATTCTAATTGCACTCCAAGAATTTTAGTTCTGTAAAAATTATGAAAGGAAAAAGATGGCACATAAAGTACCTTTGTTATTTGAGCTATCTGAAATGCTAGCTTTTGTTAATGAATCTGTTGGTTTACTTGAAACTTCATCAGCAACCTTCCTCTTCTGCAATGCATGCATGCACAAGTTCTAGTTAAGGAACCGCTTGATCTCCACATAAAGTCATAAATTGCTATGTTGGAAGTTAATACATTACAAATGAAAAGAATGAAAAAAAAAAGGGGCAAACATAACTGGCTCAATTAAGCTCGAGAAATTTTATAATACTCAAGGAATAATTAGTGTATGTATAATAGTTACTCCATGAATCCACTTGGAAGAAAGAGATAGACACAAGAAAAGAGGAGAGAAATAAGGAGAAAATTCAAAAAAAAAAAAAAAGAGAAAAACGTAGAAATCTTCTTATCATTTTTTGTGAGTCCGGATATAATTTTATGCCTCCATCTCTTTCTTTCAAGTGAATTTATAGAGTAACTACTATACATGCTACTAGTTACTCCTTGAGTATTATAAAAGTTTCCAATTAAGCTCATGATGAGTGCAGTAGATGAAATGCTTTATAAAAATTGACAAAGTTGATGGACAATGGCGATGCATCCAGACACAAATCACACAATGTTGAAGGTAAAAGGTCATCCAGACAGACTGTAGTTCTGACAAATATGAAATTCAGGTATACTGTTTCCCAGGCCTAATTGAATAAGGAGTCTCTTAGTTAGTATACTCCAAAAAGGTCACTATCATAACCTTTACATTGAATTGAGATGTGTAGAGTTAGAAAGGTTGGAAATTAGGGCAGTAAATGGATGAATAAAGCTAATTTTTTATTTTTTGGTAGAGTAAAAAAGTGCAAGGATGGAAGATAACAGTAGGAATATTAATATTTTCACAAGTATGGGCATCATTGTGAAATATTCATATATCTTCTATATCATCTCAGTCTTCATATATTTGATCCACCTGTCATAAATAGCTGCCCTGCCGCTGGGTCTTTGCAAATTGTAGGTTCAGCTATGGCTATATGAAAAAATCCAGGACCAGTGAGCCAAAAGCACGAGATTTAATAAATAAACCTTTGCCTTCGCATCCCTTGATCCATATGAGTTCTAAACTAAAAGTTTGTTCCGAGAAAAGTTGATTTCAGTAGAGGATGGATAGAAACAGTTGGCATAGATTCTTGAAGATTAGAAGTAATTAATTGAATATTTCAGTTTTTCTATAGATAAAGTCCGAAGCATACCCAACAGCTCATTCCTTGGTATTTTGATTATAAGAAGAGCATCTACATCTTTCTTTCCAAAGTCATTGCATCTAAAGCTGAGTTATCATATTTCCTAAGTGATAAACACAATCAAAGGGCAAAGCCTCCATAGCAACAACAATTACGTGGAGGGGTGGGTGGGGTTGCAACAGTCATACTTGCAAGTAAAAGTACGAAGATAAGGATTAGCTTTGAGATTAATCATCCCTTTTCTCTGGCAGAAGTAAAATATTTGTGTTCTATAAACATTTATAGTTCAAAATTATACAGATGAGGAAATTGCCTAGGGTAAAGAATGCATGTGAAAGTTTTACAACCATAATTGAATCTTTTTCTCATATTTTCCTTCAGTGATTAGACTAACTAGATTCTGTAACATTCATATCTTTCTCATATGTCCAGAAAGCAACCAATAAATGGAATGAGTAGAGTTACAGGGATTCTCATACCTTCAACTTATCATTTGACATGTCGAAATCTTCATTATCATCAGAATCTTCATCTGAAATTCTTCGAATAACTTCCTTTTGCCTTTTCTTTAAATTTTAAAGACAAAACAAACCATGTTATGAGCAACCAGTAATATATAAGAAGGTGAAGGGAGGAAGGGGATGCAAAGCATGTCTGGAAAGAAAAGTAGCAAGTACAGAAATTGAGTACGTAGCAAGTACAGAAATTGAGTACTAACTTGGAATATCGATTTTATAAGATCTTCATCCTCTTCTTCCAACTTCTTCTCCTGTCAGCACATAAATCCATTGCCAGAGTCAGAATAAAGGCAATAGAAAACAAAAATCAAAAGGAAAATGTTCCCAGAAGAAAGCAAGCATTATGCCTGCAACTAGAATCTCTTTTGTGAATTTCACACCACACACAACTTCTATGTAAATGCACAGAATGCATAGCATGCTTAACTGCTTTACATTTTAATGAACTAACAAATTTATTCCTATAAAAAAGATTTACGAGATAAACTATCGAATAGCTTAAACCTCATACCTTTTCAGAAGCCGTGCGCTGCAACGCCTCAAGCATTGCATCTACACTGACAGTTGCATGTCGAGACTGCAAAACCAAAAACAAAAATTTCAGTACAGGAAGACAAAAATAAATATAACATAATTTTAGCCAATAATATCAATCCAAAACTTCAAAAATACCAAGTTCCCACAAACCAATTACCTTCATAGACTTCATTTCGTCAAGTGCAGCAAGAATGTCCATCTCTCTTTTAGAATCCAAAGTTCTATTCTCCAATGATTTCATCGCATCCCCCATCTCTTCAGCATCCCTCTTCTTCTTCTCATTGTCCAGTTCCTACAAACACCAACACAAAAACAACATTATTGTCCAAACTAACAATTCTCACAGATTAACAACAACCAAACCACAACGTTGTAGCTAATATTGTTACCTCATCCTCTGCACGCCAAGGTTCAAAATTCCGCGTGGCACCGCTCTCAACTATATAATCCGAGTTTTGAGGATCCGTCTTCATTGCTAGCTCTGCCGAACACCTTGTACATTTAAAGTAAAATCTAAATATTTGTATTCCTAAATACGTCTGCAAAATCACAACCAAGGGGAAAAAAAGGGTCACAACCGAGTTCAAAAAATTACAATAATTAACTGACACAAATAAATTGAAGACACTAATTATTTTTTCTTCTTTTTTTACCTCACCAATAACGTCTTCTTTGCGAGAATTAAACTTCGTGCCTTTGTAGATGTAATTACCGCAAGTATTGCAACGAATGCTCATGGGAAGCATCATTCGGACCTTGATTTGCTGGTTCTTGGGTCTCCGGATCCTGGGTAATTTCGACGGATCGAAATCCGGTGGATAGTACTTGTTTAACACCTTTCTTTCTCCCATCTTCCTTGCTTATTGTCTTCTTCTTCTTCGAATAAAGTAGATTGAAGATCGAGGGAACCAGAAAAGAAAAACCCTAGTTACTGAAATTAACTGAAGATTGCGTGTTCGGATCAGGGATTAATTTTTTCTTTGATTTTTGTTGCTGTCCACTCCGATTTTGATTGATTGGTGGGTTTTGAAGAAGCTGAAAGAAAGAGAGAGATGGGGGCAGGCAGCTTCTCGTATTTTATTTTCTTAGCAGACTGTTTTAACTAGTATCAGGTATCTTAACTTGTGGGCTTATTATCAGGTATCCTAACTTGAGGCTCGATGGGAGCCCAGCTCAATTTCTTGAATTTTGATTTTTTTTTTCTTGGTGGTTTCGTTTCTTTAAAAAACCAAAAAATGCCTTTTGTTTTCAAGAACTATATATATATATGCATCCTCATTATAAATTCAGGATACATGTTTGAATATATTATGGAATAATTATAGAATTGATTTAAGCTTAATTCAAGGGATTGCTAATGTCTTCCCATTTAGAGATTACAACTTCCAAAAAGCAAGGGTAATACATTAAACATCCTCGATAGCAGACCCAGCAGGGGAAAAAAAAAAAAAAAAAACTTAAACAGTAAATTCAACGGACACACAATATTTTTTCACTTTATTTTAGTTTTTTAGTAATGATTTTATTTTCTATTTAGATGTATAAATTGTGTGTAGATAATTTAGACCACCTTATAGTAGAGATATTCAAGTAATTCGGTATGTAGTCCTTGTGGTTTTAGATTCTCCTCTAATATAGTTTAGATAATTACTAGCTTTTTTTATCTACCTTATGTTATGGATCGTGTGGATCGGATATAATATATAAAATTATTTTTAAAAAATTATTTTAGTTTGATAATTCATGTTATGTTGTATGTTTATTAAAATATATCAAATCAAAACTAAATAAAAATTTATTTAATTGTATAAATTTTTTAATCAAAATTTTGTATTTGACTAATTATTCTTTGTATTTTCATAAATTTTTGCTTAAAAAAATATTATTTATTTATATGTATCTATTTTTTAATTAAAAATTATAATAATGTAAGAAAAATGTTAAAATCAATAGATTCTTAACTAAAAACTTATTTATAAATTGTTTTTTCCTAAACATCTTTTTGTTTTAAATTTTTTAATTAAAAAAACTCGAGAGAAGAAAAAAGTAAAGACCAAAGCAACTAGAATGAAACAAAAAAAGATATCAAAATAAAACAAAAAAATTTACGGATTGAAAAAACAATGTTTAAAAAAAAAACCAAAATGTAATGTTACAAAAACCTTCATAATAAATATTTTTTTTTAAAATTGAAAACTATATAAAAAAAACCAAAATATTAGTGAATATGAGTATGTGTGAATAGTGTTTGGAACGATATAATGAATAGAAAACTAATATTTTGGTTTAGTTTTTTTTTTGTTACTATGTTTTTTATATTTTATCGTAGTATTGGAGTCCCCTCCTTTGGCTTGAATTTTATTTTCTCTAAGCTTTTGATGTTTTTTTCATTGTTTATTTTAGTATTTTTCCTTCCCGTAATACTTGTTGTCACTCTCTATCATCATATATTTTCAGCTTTGATTTTGATACCTTCCACACCGTTGGATTCCTCATCGTTCAACGATCATCTTATTTAAATTTCACGATCGGTGGAGCCTCCATGCACCCTCACTCCACTAAAATCTTCCGCTGAGCCGTTGTAATCATGTTCTTTTACGAGAAAATTTTAGTTTTTAATTTTGACCAATTTTATGACTTGACTTTCGGATCTTTTGGTTTGATCTTTTTACTCGATTTTGTATTGTTTTATAAACCAAAACCGAGGGATTTTTGGTCGTCTTCTTCTTCTTTCCCCTATCTTTACAGGATCTGTTTCAAGCATGGAATCTTTTGAATTTTTCTATTTGTGCTCTTAACCTAAAATTATATAAAAAAAAAACTAAAAAAAGTGAAGGTGAGACTATTAACTTATTGTAGCTCCTCACCCAATGTCACTATTCATACATTTTTTTGTTGCTTCTTGGTCCCTCTTTTTTTGAAAAATAAATAAATTAATCTCTTTGATTTGAAAAATAATTTTTTTATCCTAGAAAGTTTTAAAACTACAAAAATTACCACAACATAATAAAAAGAATAGTACAAATGAATTAGTGTGAATAGTGAAAATGAGTTTAGATGAATAATATTTGGAATAGTACCAATGAATAATAAACTAACATTTTACTTTAGTTTTTTTTTTAGTTAATAGCATGACCTAGCATCAAATTACTAAGGATATCAAAAGAACGTTTTCCTCTTAAAAGGCATATGACCATTGTTCTCTTAAATGAAGACAACCTTTAGATTGGTTGACGGATGGAAGATCTTTGCGTTGGTTGATGGATGGTCCATGAGTCGGGCTTTGTAAACCCTATTGTGAGTAATATTACCTACCTTATAGTGCTGCTCATCATATCCCATTATATTTCCTCAAACCAAGGCGAGTGTTATTTGTTAACGTCAAAGTCCCGGAGCAAAAAGACCCTAAAAAACAGAGATTGGTAAACCCATAGTTAAACAACATATAATAATAGAAGAATGCAAACTAAATCATAAAATCAACAAAAGCTGAGCTTATGAGTAAATGAATCCCCAGTATTCAGAAACCAACGTTGACCTAATGAGATTGCATGATTAATTTTTGATAAATTAACATGTTAAATTAAATATTTTGTTTACTGTAAAATAATTTGGATTTGCATGCCTCACATTTCTTGGTTTCCTATACATGTTCTCACTTATAATTTTATGTGAAAAATTTAATTAGATCTGACATTAGATTGAAAATACTCTTATATTTAGAGTTTGATGGTAATTTAATGAAATTTTATAATAGATTTTATTTTATCTAACTTGTTGAAAATTGCATTTTCATTTGTTAACGTTCCTAATTCTTTATTTACACTATGCTTGCATTAATTTGTAATTCAATTTTTACATTTCTAAGTTCATGCATTTTTCCACATATGTAATTTTATATGGAAAAATTTGTTGGAACCGATTCTAATAGGTAAGATGCCTAGCTTCAGGATCTGATAGCCATTTGAAGTAATTACTCCATAAATAATTTTATAAGTTTTATTCTCTCTCTCTCTCTCTATATGTATTTGCCAACCTGTTGAGTTTGTGATATTCAGAGTTATTTTTTTAATAATTAAGTTTGATCCTTTGCTTTACAAGACTGGCAAGATCATTGAAAACCCTTAATTGGACTGGGTGATGCTAAAATCCAAAAGGAGCCAATTTTTAGCACTAATAATGCCGTTGCTTATACTCTATGCTTGTAAGATTCTTATGGACATTACCACTATTTCTCAAACCCCTTTAAAAATATTGAATATCAAGTACAATTAATCTATACGATAAAATCTCACGCATCATCAGGAGAGCCATCTATAAAAACTATTCAAAAAGTTACTTTCCCAACTCTTCATATAATCTTCAAGATCCTATGTAGAACGAACAACAGTGGTGTCTCTTTCTCTTCCTTGACCATTTTTGACTCTTAGATCTCCATACAAACGCAAGATCTGGTGTAAAACATTTGCTCTATTCAATAATTCATTACTCCAATAAGATAATATCTTTCTTAATTGAAAAAGCAAAATATCGTATAAATGGCATAAAAATACGCCATAATTATGACCTCTATCACTACTCGGCATTCAATGGAGACTTCTAAAAAAATTCCAATTAAAAATTATTTGTTTGTTTTGTTTATTTACTAAGGATGTGAGTTAAACAACATTTTAAAGTCGCTACCTAGTATTAAAGAAACTAGAAAACCTAAAAATGACACTAGTATAGAGATTCTAAGATAAGAAGTTGGTTATGTTTTTGGAAAGATATTAATTACTTAAAGGAATTCTTTTCGAGAAAAGGTACCACGTCCGATTTAATCCTAAAATTTTATCTCCTAAAAATTTTTATTTTTTTCAAATGATTTCTAAGTTAATTTCCAAGTTTATTATATAAGCCAATTGACTTTTATTTATTTATTTATTTTTATTTGTGGTATCATATTGAATTGATCATCATACGAGACTTTGGGAATCTCATCAATTCAATATCGGATTCGGTTTAAATCTTGACATAACTAGTATATTAGAGAATGACTTAATTACTAAAATATGATTGATTAATATCAATCTCTATTTAAATAGAAGACTTGTTAAAATTGCTTAAAACACATTCTTTCTTTTTTGGTTATTTTCCTTAATTAAACTAAAGATGTTTTATTTTGAGATATGCAAAAAAAAAAAAAAAAAAAAAAACCGGTATCAAAATTATTTTTTATCTTTTTTTATTTATAGCATTGTATTAAATTAATATCGGGCCACAAGATTTGGAAGTCTCATCAATTTAGTATCGGATTCGAATTAAAATCTTGACATGATTGGCATGGGATATAAACGACCTAATTATTTAAAAGTATTTATGTGAAAAGTCGAATAAAATTAAACCGATTCGAACCATTATTATTATTATTTAGCATTTTTAACACTTGAAAAAAGTATCGAACTAGCGTACTATCCCTAATAAATAGGAGACTCGTTGAGAGGACATCACGACCGAATCAACTCTATATATTAAAATAAATTTCACAACCTAAATATTTCAAAGTTTTCTAACACAAATAAAATTAATATTATTACAAAGCAGCATGATGAAGTAATTAAAAAAGTGGGAAAACAAACCAAATGGTCACTAGATAATGACCAAAATACCCATACATATGAAAATGATCAAAATGCCCTTACATGTCAAAATTACGAAGTCACCTATCAAAACCCATAACACTGCTCGCCACTTGTTTCAATCATTGTATAGTGTCCTTTAGGTGTGTAGACTAGTCCAAATATTGAAGGAGGTCATTCTCTATCATTATATGGTGGTGTAAGCTATCGTTGTTGGTGGAGAAGAGAGATTA